TGGGCTCCAACTTGTAATTCTTCTAGCTCAGCTTCTCAGAATGTTAGATTGCAGGCATGCACCACTACACCCAGTTTCTGCCATTTTTCATTTCCTCTATTCCTGGATTTCCTTCTTCTCTCCACAGAGACACAAATATTTACTCTTTTGTCCCACAGAAGCTTGACTGGAAAACTTACTCCAAAGGCAATTGCTAGCAATGAAATGTGTTAAAACTCCTGCACAGTGCCTCTCCCACTGTCTGTCATTTAACTGGAGGCTTTGACCTTTCAGTTTTTTGATCCTTTCATTTTTGTGTCCAGGTTGTCCACAGAGGAGAGAATTCATCTTTCTGGGGTCTAGAGTCTCCAGGGGCAAAACAGACAAATGAAATGGGTCATATATCCCCCAAACCTTATCCATAAGATCATTAACCATCTCATCATTAAAATAAAATTATTTTCCTTTGTTTTCTTTACTGAACATACATTTGTCAGGTTGTATAGAGTTCCCATGATAAAATACTTCCATATTATTTCAAAAATCTCTTTGGCTAAAAATTTCAATCTATTAATAGTAGATACAAAATGACAAAGTACCCTTTTGTTCAACTTACCCTTAATACTAATTTGTTATGCTATTTTGATTAAGACATAAATCATAACCATAAATATTTTATTTTTTCAAATAATTTTAAATGATTCATTTGGAAATGAATATTTTATGTTGTAGAACTGGTTATTGGTGTGAGATAACCTTGTTGTAAAGGACAGGGCTTGCTGAATAAATACGTCTTTTCTTTGGAGGGTAAAGTGAGTATTGATTTTATTCTTGGCATCCAGAGATGACAAACAAGATCTTTTCTTGTGAAATAACTGGTTGATTGGTAGTGGCTGCCTGGTTTGAGAGGCATTGCAAGGAGGGAGTTCAGGCTCAGGAGAAGGGGTACAGTGTTAGATTAGTAATGTCTGCTGTGGACACAGCACTGGAAAAGTATAATGTGGCTACCAGTTATTTGCAATCCTGGTCAATCATTCCATTTCTTTTTATCAACTTTCATGGGGAGTGAAGAAGGATAACAGATGATCACTTACCACTTCCCAAAGACCTAGTTCTTTAGGCTATAAATGGACTTCTTTTCTTCAGACACATGATTAGAGAGAAATCGATGAACAGATCTTCCTCAAAAGTACTTTAGACTTCTTTGAAGAACTCTGTCTCTATTAAAAATTTGTGTCTTTATAAATAAATTCCAAAGTGCCATCCATAATTCTGGTAGAAATTACTCCCTACATTGTAAGTACAATAATTATAGTTATACAGTGATAAAATCATGTGACAAGTTTGTTAAATTGTACACTATAATTTGAGTTTTCCTCTTGCTATCTATAAAGTAACTGGTGAGTGACAAGCATACCTTCGATCCATTAACTGCTTATAAGTTGGAAAAGCATCTTTGAGACTTGAGCCTTGCAAGTTCTAGAGATGACATTAGGAAAGCTTCCTTGATGAAGGACAAATGACAGGTTCCTTGGTTAGGAGGTGGAAATCTTTAAGGGGAAGATTTGAAATAATTTTCAGATGAGGAATATTCAGTGGGGCAAAGTGCCTTTTTTCCTCCACCCTCTTCTCCAGAGTCTTATCTTTATGTTGGGACTATGTCTTGGTTTTCTTGGCAGGTACTTAGTGAAAAAGTAATAATTTGTGTAGGTTTCTTTTCACTTTCTTTAAAGTGATAGTAGTGAAGAGAACATGAACATTTGAAATAACTCATTACTTTTTTATTTTTTGTCTTTTTGAGACAGGGTCTCGCTATGCAGTTCAGACTGGCCTTGAGCTCACTTTATAGCCCATGCTGGTCTTGAACTTGCAAGGATTCTCCTGCCTCAGCTTCCTGAGTGCTCGGATTACAGGCGTGTGCCATCACACCCAGCTAATAACTCATTACTTTTAAAAGCTTTTATTTTTCTAATTATAAAATTGATTTAACTTTGTAGTTCAAACAATATTAAAAAGGAGAATTTCTCATAATTCTAATCTTTCATTTTCCCTCTAGAAAACCAGGGTCCAACTTTCTCCAGCAATGTGTTTATTTTATAAATATAGAATCGTATTCAGTTCTGCCCCTATTGATTTTCAATAGCTACATATATAGTTATATCATTTGCGATAGTATAGTATTTTGAAGTACTATTGTTTATTTAATCAGTGCCCTATTGGTAGACAGTTGGGTTGTTTCCAGTTCGTCACTATAAACTACAGACAATCCTGTGATCATGTGACCATTTCCTTTGGGGTGCCCCTGTCACTACTTTATTATTATTATTATTATCATCATCATTATTATTATCATTATTTTGTGGTATTGGGGATTGAAACTAGGACCTTTGCACTGAATTACATCCTCAACCTTTTTATTTTTTATTTTGATATCACTAAGTTGCCTAGGCTGATTTTGAACTAGTGGTCATCCTGTCTCACTCTCCTTAGTAGCTAGGATTAAAAGCTCATGTCACTGTAACCTGTACCACGGTCACTTTGAAACATTATGAGTGTGCTATCTAAGCTCCTCTCCTTGGTGTGAAGAAACAGGCAGTGCTGTGGTGTAGGTTTGGGGCTTAAAAGTGAACAAGATTGGGCTGCATCCTTATTTTACCAGCCTTATTTGTGCAGGATTTCCTGTTGCTGGGGAATTTGCTTTTTATTAAAATAGTGTAATTTTTTCAAACTAAATAATAGTAAAGCATCTTTGTGGATTTGGGTGGGTGAAAAAATACCTTATGGAGTCACCCTTGCTGGAGAGGAGGAGGAGCATGATGGGAAAAGGCCAGTGAGGCGCTTCAGATGGACTCTGAGCTGATGCCCTAGTCTATATCACAGGCTACTCTGTGGATACCCAGGAATGTCTTCTTCTGTTTATGTTGTGTATCAATCTGTTGCAGGAAAACAACTGGGTCTGGGCAATTTAAAGAGATATTTATTTCACTCACTTTTTTTGGAGGATGAAAGTCCAAGTAGCATGGTGCAGGCTTTGGCAAGGGCCTCTCTGACAGCATCACATCATGAATGATGACATAATGGTAGGGGCAGGGCCAGAGGGGGCGATTGCATGGTGAATCAAGAAACCAGAAAAGGGGAGTGGCCAGTCCTGCTCTTTAACAACAACCTCTCCATCAAGAACTGAAGTCCCATGGGAACTATGTTAATCCCTTCTGAAGCCAGAGCCCTCGAAGACCTAGTATGTTAATGAGATGTTCATCACAGTGACCAAATGCTTGAGAAGAGCAGCTTCAAGGAGGAAATATTTATTTTGGCTCATGGCTTTAGAGGGTTCAGTCCATGGTTGGTTGGCTCCCAGGCAAAAAGATCATGGCAGAAGGGCCTGGTGCGGAAAGCTGCATCTCACAGCAGCAAGGAAACAAAGTGAGATGAAAGGGCCATAGAAGAAAGGTTGGGAATGGGATGTACTTTCCTAGGTCATGACCAGTTCCCTTCAGCTAGGCCCCACCTCCTAAGTTTCCATCAAATTACAGTCTCATTAATAGACTAACCCAATGTTAGTTTAACTAACCCAAAGTTAGATTCCTCATGATCCAATCACATTCTGAAAGCTCCATCTTTGAATGTGTGAGACATTTGGGGAACATTTTAGATCTAAATCAAATCACTTGTCTTACATTAAGCATCCCCCACAAAGTCCCAGCACCTCCTCTTATGGTTTAGATCTAAAATGGCCTCCAAAGCCTCATGCATTTGGAATAGCTGACTTGATGTTAGGAAGTGGGCCCTGGCCAGAAGAGGTGGGACCCGTGCACTGGGGTGAACTGGAAGGGTGTACCTCCCTCCCCACCTCCTCTCTCTCCTCTCTGCTTCCTGGCTGCTGTGAAGTGAGCAGCTCTCCTCCATGTCAGACCCTTTCACCACCATGCTTTCCTAACTTAGAGCTGGTCAATTATGGGATAAAATCATGAGCCAGAATAAACCCCTCCTCCTCTAAGTCGTGGATGTCAGGTATTTGTGCCAATGACAAGAGAAGTCAGACACTTTCCAACGTCAACACACTGAGGGCCAACCATAAATACCTGAGGGACCCACTCAAACCATAGCCTGACCATCATGTATCGTTATATACATTAAATGTATCCTTTCATATGTACAAACTATTTCACAATGCATTTTTATATTAAAAAACCCCAACTCTATGGACATCAATCAAAATGAATTCAAACCCATTCTACTGTGACACTTTCAGTGACTACTTTTGTTCTTATTATTGAAGAGACTTTATTGGCAATAGTCATGTACCAGGCATGGAATAAAAGTTCTTAGAAAAAGAAATAAAATAAAAGTTCTTAGAATATCTTTGAATACCAGACCAGTGGAACAGTCAGGTCTTCTTTGGTCAGAAACAACAGAAATGGTCTCTGAGTGATAAGCAGAAAAAAGTTTACTGATAGCATTTGAGGGAGTTCAGAGAGATCTACATTAATCCCCTCCAAAGACCTAATTATTTTTAGTTGTCTTTGTTTTATTTTTTCTGAGTATAAGTCATAGACAAAGACTCTCTTACAAAAAATAAACATTCAGGTAAAAGCATAAAACTTTCTCTTCAATGAACTAAGATAAACTAGTAGTATACATAAAACAAATTAGCATATATGTTAAAATATTTTTTAAATGATGGAATAGTTAATTTGGGGAATTATTTAGACTTCTTCCTCTTTTCTATTTTTCTATCTTCTATTTCTCTCTCTCTCTCTCTCTCTTTCTCTCTATCTACTACATAACCTATATATCTATATTCTCATATAAGAGAAACCATGTAATATTTAAGCTTATGTGTCTGACTTATTTCACTTAATGTTATGTTTTCAAATTGCATTCATTTTCCTACAAATGCCCTGAGTCTATCTTTCTTTATGGGACTACTACTATATTGTATATAAATATGTTTTCTTTATCCATTCATCATTGATGGACATATACAGTTTCCAAGATCTAGCTATCATAAATTGTGCTTCTATAAACATCAGTATGTATATCATTGTAATATCATGACTTTAAGTCTTTTGGGAAGATACCCATAAGGGGAACAGCTGGGTCAAATGGAAGTTCTGCTTTTACTTCTTTGAGGAATCTCCACACTGACTACAACTAGTGATTGTACTAGTTAACATTTCTACCAGCAATGTAGAAGAGTTCCTTTTCCCCCACATCCTCTCCAGCACTTGCTATTATTTGATTTTTTCATGATAGCCATTCTTTCTGGGGTATGATGATATATCAATGTAATTTTAATTTGTGTTTCTCTAATGGCTAGCAATGTTGAATATTTTTTTGTGTATTCACTGGTAATTGTATTTCTTCTGAGAAGTGTCTATTCATTTCAGTTGCCCATTTTTTGATTGGATTTTTTATTTTGAGGGATCTATTTTTTTGAGTTCTTGATATATTTCAGATGTTAGTTCTTTGTCTAAGGAATAGCTAGAAAATCTTTTTCCTACTTTGTAGGTTGTTCTTCACTCTGTAGGTTGTTTCCTTTGCTGTGCAGAAGCTTTTTAATTTGGTACAATTCCATTTGTTAATTCTCAATGTTATTTCTTGTGACACTGGGATTCTGTTCAGAAAGTCCTTGCCTATGCCTATGTCTTCAAGAGTTTTACTTATTTTATCTTCCAGCAGATTGTTTCTGTTTTAACATTTAGATCTTTGATCCATTTTGATTTTAGTTTAGCACGTGGTGACATATAAGTTTAAAGTCAACCTTCTGCATGTGGATGTCTAATTTTCCCAACACCATTCATTAAAGAGGCTGTCTTTCTTCCAGTGTATATTTTTGGCCCCTTTGCCAAAGATCAAATAGCTACATGTGCCTGGGATTGTTTCTTCTTCCTCTGTTCTGTTCCAATGATCCACATGTCTGTTTTTGTGCCAGTACCGCGATGTTTTAATAACAATAGCTTTGTAGTAAACCTGTGATTATGATGCCTCCTGCTTTGCTTTTGTTATCCAGGATTACTTTTGCTATTCTGTGTCTCTTCTGATTGCACATGAATTTTAGAATTGTTTCTCCAGCTCTGTGAGAAATGCTGTTGGTATTTTGATTGGGACTGCATTAAATCTATATATCAGTTTTGAAAGTATGGCCATTTTGATTATATTGGTTCTGCCTATCCATCAACAGCGCTGTCTTTCCATTTTCTGATGTTCTTCTCAATTTCCCTTTTCAGAGTGATGTAATTTTCGTTGTAGAGGTCTTTCACTTCCTTAGCAAAGACCTAATTATCTTGCAGTAAGTGTCACCTCCTATTTTTAGGTCTCAGAGAGGATGGGACAGAGAGGTGCCCTCAATTGGAAGCTTAGCTTACTTCTGGCCTGGCTGGGTGGTGGTTCCAACTGTTTCACTTTGTCCCTTGACACAAAACTCATCCCAAGGATGAGGGGATCCGAGAGGCCTGAATGGAGTTGAAAGTCCACCTCTGGGCCCATGGAGATACCAGGACTGTATGACCTTAAAGCCATAATTTACAAAAGATGTCTTGGTTACTTTTCTCTCATTGCTGGGACAAAATACCCTACCCCCAAAGTTAAAGGGGAAAGGTTTATTTAGCTCACAGTTTGTGGAGGTTTCAGCCCATAATCAGCTGGCTCCAAGGCAGGCTGGCACATGGCAGAGGGCAGCAGTTCATGACGGCGGAAGATAGCAAAAGCAGCAAGAGCAAACAGGCAGAGCAAACCTCTTTTCCTCTGCTATGTTGTATGCAGGCAACCTGCCCTAGGGCAGGTGTAGCACTCACACCCCCAATCTCACTAGATAATGAACCAGTCGTAAACTCTAGATTTAGCCACCTCTGAAAAGCCTGCTCCCCATGACCACATGAGGCTTTGGGGGGACATACGGGCACAAATCATAACAGATGAGAAGATGGCTAAAACAGGCTCAGTGAGCATACGGTGAAGATGAAAACTAGAAGTATAAATACTGTAACTCAGTAGAAGAGTGGCTAGGATGCAGGTGTGATTCACTTGTATTAGGATAAGTGGATCCAAGAGTATGATGAGTTCAAGAAAGCTGCTGAAAATCTGGATGAGCAAAATTAAACAATGGCAGCTCCAAATCCAGGAGTGTGAATAGAAATATGAGACTACCTGAAAATCATATTTGCTTTACTGGGAAGCCATCAGCCCAGCTTCTAATGCCCGGTCTGTTGTAAAGCTCGGTCCATTTTGTCTTTGAATTCACTGCCATCCAGGTGGTCTGAGAAGTCTCTTCATGCAAAACAGTGCAGAAAAAACACTCTCTGATTTATCACTGTTCCCGCAAACTTTAGGAGAGAATTCCAAAAGAAGTAAGCTGAGGTCAGAGCTGCTGACAGTTGGGAAAGGAATGGTTTCTTGAAGGCAGGTGCTATCCAGTCTTTGACCCGCGGAAGGTGGGAAACCAAGCCAGAGGCCCTGCTTAGTGGTGCCCTCTGGTGACCAGCAGTGGGAGGAGCAAATTCTCGCACAGATCTCCTACCCAGTTTAGAGCCCTCATCCTCCCAGACTAAGACTGGTAGTTAGGATGAAGGCACAACGCAAGGCAGGCCACTTTGTATGACAGCAGACAGAACAAAAAATAGATTTAGAATTCTTATAAACCTCTTATAAAAAAGAATCTCCAAATAAAGCAAATATCAAATATCTTGGAAGTTTTGGGTACCAAATATAGAACCACTAAATACAAAGTGAAGAAATGAAGACTCTAATAATAAGGACATGTTCTCCCCAAAAATACAGTCATAAGCAGATAGAGATGTAAAAATAAATCTTGCAGAAATTTGAAAAAAGTTTCTCTGTTGACTTACCTTCTGAGGGTGGTTTAACAGAAAATTAGACATTGATGAAGAGAGAATTAACAAACTGGAAAGTATATCACAGTAATCATCAGAACACAAACAAGTGAAAAAAGATGATAAATATATGAAAACTACAATAAGAAATTAGAGGAAGGGCTGGGGATGTAGCTCAGTGGCGCAGTGCCTGCCTGGCAAGTGTGAGGCCCTGAGTTCGATTCCTGGTACCAAAAGAGAAAATAGTTTTTTTTAAAAAAAGACCAAAAAAAGAGAGGAATAAGCTGTATGTCTCTCATCCTGGCACTCTGGGATGCTGAAGCAGGAGAATTGCACAGTTGAGCTCATCCTGCACACAGTGTAAAGTCTCTGGGTGTGAGAGAGACAGACAGACAGACAGACAAACAGAGACAGAGACAGAGACAATAAAATGAGAATGTAACATATCTATTTGGACTCTCAGAAGGAGTGTAAAGAGAATAAGAGTCAATACTTGAAAAGACAAGGGCTGTTATTGTTCCAGAACCTATAGGAAAATAAAATACACAAAGCTAGAAAACATGGCATATCTTAAATAAAAAGAAATTTAACCTTCAACTTATCATAGTGAAACTGTAGTATACTAAAAGCAAAAGTTGTTAAAAGGAGCCAGGGAGAAAGGATTGCTAAGGATGCAGTCTTTCTAGTCCTAGAGGTACTAAAGAAGATAAGTCAAAGTAAAAAAGAATCTCCAAATAAAGCAAATATCAAGTCCAAAGATTTTTCCAATGAGTTCTGCAAAGCTTTAGAGAACTGGTCCTTTCTGTCTTCCCAACCAGTTCCATGAGGCCAGTATTACTTAGATGAGTACAAAAAGGAAATTTGCAGATTAACCTAACTCGTAAATATACTTTCCAAAAATCCTATATGAAACACTGTGATCTAGCAAAAGGGAAGTCTTTTCAGCCACACCTGGGGAGTGCCTGGCTTCCAGAATAGCCTCCCTCCTTTCATTCCAGCTCCTCCTAGGTCCCCATGTCCAGACATTTGCTTGGAGATGCCATGGTAACCATGATGTCACAATGGAACATCGTTCTTCCTGAGGTGGTAGAAGAAACTCCTCTGTTGAGTTCTGCTGTGTAAGGTCAGAGCAGGTTCATTTCCCTTTTAGTGGCAGAGTTCACAGAAGAGCCCTGAGGACTATCCTGAGAACAAGAACCACCCAGTGTCATGAAGGGAAGGTAGTGACTTAGAACCGTGCATGGTCCCTCAGGACACCATGGCTTGTTGGAAGCAAGGGTGTTGGTGTGGGGGTATGGTGTGGGGTAAAGTATCCAAGAGCTTTGGATTCAGACAAGAACTCAAATTCCAAGGCTACAAATTGATAGCTTGTGACCTTGCACTTGTGGTTACTCAGTGTCTGAGCATCAGTTTCTGAATCTGTAAAATGGGGACCATAAGGGCATCTCCCTCCTGGGGTGCTTGTGTGAATGATCTAAGCTGAATGCTGGGGCTGTTACTGTGTAAACATGCAGGGGCTATTACTAGTGGAAAAATAATCCCAGGATTTTTTAAGCCAGCAGAGTTTAATAGGAGGGGTAAAATCATGGGGAGACATTAAGGCCAGGGTGAGCTTCCACCAAAACCTTGCCTTTTCTTTCAGCAGCAGCATATTATGCCTACAGAGTTAAAGCAAGAGTTCAATTCCACAAGTCAAAAACCAACCCCTTTCAGAGACCCAACTCTCTGGGACGTCCAGGGGTCTGGGTTGCATTGAGAAGAAAACTGGCAAAAAGGCTGCCTGCCTCTGCTGGCCACATTACCAACTGTTAGCTGAATATCCGTGCCAGGCAGCTGGTTCCTGCCACTCTACAGCACAGGAGCAAGCGCGGGAGTGACAAGTTGGTTTCCCACGTCTTGGAACCTTTATGGGTGGAAAGGAAGAGACAGGGCCTTCGATGCCGGCGGGTGGGAGTTGCTACTTTGGGGAAAAGCGGAAAGCCCTGAGTGTGTTTGTGGAGACAATGAGCCATTAGACCTTCTCTCTCCCCAGCTGCCCATGGTGTCTGCAGTGGTTCTGTCTGGGGATGGCAGAGATGAGAGGGATGCTGCTGGTGTTGCTGTATGTGTCCCACTCTTCTGCCAGTGAGTACACAGCATTTTTCCATGTGACTTCAGGCAGCCCATGTGGCCCGGCAGGGGGAATCATTTAGGAAAATGAAGTGGTCCTTAGTGTCCAGAGAAGAACTCGGGGGCAGATGACTCACAGCCTTTGCTCCAGGAAGCCAGTAGCTCGGTTGGTGCAGGAACCGGAAACGTAGTGAGCTATGGGGTATGGATGTAGGTCACCGGCTACTCAAGCTGATGCCTCAGGGCTACTCCTGAGGGCAGGAGGGTGGTAGGAAAAAAGCCTTTGGCTACGGAAAGGAGGAATCAGCTTGAGGCCGGCCTCAGCCCACCCTGCCTTCCTACTACACTGCTCCTCTGCAGGCTGAGCCCCGCTGCCTCAAGTGGCAGAGGTATCAACTGTGGTCCCCTCCTCACCACACCTCAAGGCTGTTCAGAAGTATTAAAATGTCCAGCCTAGACAAGTAAGAGGGACAGGGGACAGCCGACTAAAACAGGCTCTGTCCTGCCTCACTGTCATTGCAGCTGGCTCTGCTCTGCTTCTTGGGGTTAGATGGGGGACTCAAGAGAAATACGTGTACACACACACACACACACACACACACACACACTGCACTTTCTCAGCTGCCTCCACCTCCTCTGCCTCCTTGTAACCCCCCAAAAGACCAGAGAATCATGGGAAAACAGAGACAGAGCCTCTCTCCCTTTAGAAAGCCACAGCTAGGTGAACCAGGACAAACATTTTGTCTCCGGGTCAGATTTCCTCACCATCTCCTGGTCTTCCATGGATTTGGCAAGGTCCAAGGGCTCTGAGGAATGAAAGTCGAAAGTCGTCACACACACTTAGGATTAGGAAACACTAGCAGATTGCCAATTCCCAGGGAAGACTATCAGACCTACATAAGGAATCTTGTGTTTGGAGGTTTCTGAAGCACCTAGTGGCCTTATCAACATCATCTTAGTAACAACGGGCTATGTCATCCCCAGAAAAGTCTCCAAGGGTCCATTAGTGGAGATGTTTGGTCATATGATGTCCCATAACGGAGAGATCCTCCGTGGTCTTTTAATGATACCACTGCAGTTGACAGCTGACTCCATAGTATCATGGTTTGGAAATTATCTTTAGTGCTCACATCGAAGGTCACTATTAAGAGGAAGCCCTCTAAGCTTAAGCCCCGGACAGAATTCCTGTCTCCTCCTCTGTACCCTCAGGGCACACACCCTTTTCTCATTTCTGTCTCTGTGGCCATCACTCATTAGCATGTCACTGGGATGGACTCCTGAAATCCAGCCCTGACAGCCTAGTCCCCAGCCTAGAGCCTGGCAACAGTGAGTGTGGCATGGTTGAAAATAAGTCACCCATAGTCCAACCCATACAGTCCCCTGGGGGTACCCCCAAGAATCTCTTACACCAAAGAGGATCTCCTTGTTTGAGAAAAGCAACAGAGTGGTGGAGTTAATGGCCAGAAAGGCCGACGACCAGCAGGAAAGGAGTAGGGGGGCTGGTGGATGGTGGTAGCCCCGCGGACCAGGTCCTTGCAGTGAGGCCTGCACTGCCTCCGCAGGTTGTGGCATCCAGAAAACCTCACTGGTGGACGAATCTGAGGAGAACCTGGTCGGCGCCATGGAGTTCCCCTGGGTGGTGTCTGTGCAGGACTCGCAGTACACACACCTGGCATTCGGCTGCATCCTCAGCCAGTTCTGGATCCTCAGCATCGCATCTGCCCTGCAGCACAGGCCAGTACTCTCACCCCAGGGCCAGGAGGGCTCCCCGGTCTGCTACTACCCCAGCCTTAGGGTCTTACAATGGGTCTCCTCAGACTGTGGGAGGCAACACTGAAAAGGGGCGTGACCCCTCCCCTGTTCTGCACAGGAAGGACACTCATGCAGGTTTTATTGCAATCTGGAGGCGCGTCTGTGAATAGGATGTCCTCACTGCTTCTTCTGCTGAGCCCTTGCCTTTGACACTCTCCTAGCGCCTTGCAAACGCTACTGCCTTTTCTGTGTGCATTCCTGGTGGGTCTTCTTCTCCTTGTCCTCCCCCTTCCCTCTCCCAACCCCATTTCTCCTCCTCCCTTCTCCTCCTTTTCCTCCTTCTGTGCTGGGAATGGAACCCAGAGCCTGGCACATGCTAGGCCAGCGCTGTACCGCTGTGTGACACCTCCCGCCTTCTCCCTCATCCTAAAATGTAACCCCTCATCTTGGACGGGTGCTCAACCCTTGTGACCTCACTTAACCTTAGTTATCTCTGTCTCCAAAATGGTCACATTAGCGGCCAGGGCTTCCACTTAGGATTTTGGAGGGTTACAATTCAGCCTATAAGATCCTGCCTAAGCATCCCCCAAATTCGTGTCCTTCTGGCTTGCAAAATACATTCACCTCATCCTGCAGCGCCCCCTCCAAATCTTTCCCTCCAATGAGATTTTATTGGTACATTTTAGATATACATAATGGATCACATCCATCATAGAGAATTTGTACCTGTACATGATATAACTTGTTTTTTTCCCATTCTCTTCCCTTCCTTTCTACCCCGCTTGTGTCCCCATTTACAAAAGCTTTGTTTCCATTTTTCCTTCTTTTCTCATTTTGTTTTTTGCTTTTTCCTTCTTACCTTGCCCTCTCCCCCCTCCCTTTTTCCCTTCTCCATTTGAACACTTATTTCACAATACCTATTATACACGTTGGTCCTCATTTACACTTTCAGTTTCTCACACCAGAGAAACAATGTGGTATTTATATACATGTGTCCAATTTATTTCACTTAACAGTAAGGTCTCAAGGTGCATCCATTCACCCAGAAATGTCTCAAGCTTATCCTTCTTTATGGCAGAGTACTACTACACTGTATAAAAAAAATCCACATCTTCTTTATCCATTCACAGCTGATGGGCATTTGGGTTGTTTCCAAGATTAGCCCCCCAAATCTTAACCCAACAGCATTAACCCTAAATCCAAATGTCCCCTAAGCCAGGTGTTCTTGAGAATCAAGGTTTGATTTATCCTGAGGGAAAATTACTTTCCAAATATGAAATGTGTGAAATCACACGTTATGTGCTTCTAAAATACAATTGTTGGGACAGGCGTAAAGTAGATATTTCCATTCCAAAAAGGACAAATCAAAAAGAAGGCAAGAATGATTTGTCCCACGTAAGCTAAAACCTAGCAAAGCAAATCCCATTAGATCTCAAATTTCAAGAATTTCCCTCTGGATTGACGCTGTGCCCTGGGTTCCCTGTGGTGGCAGCATCGCTCCATTGCCGGGCAGTGGGCCCTCCCCAGGCCTCGTGCTGGAGACGCGGGCGGTGGCAGTCTGACCCATTAAACCGAAGAGACAGCCGCGTCCCCCAGGCCTGTCACTCTCAGCTGTGGTGGGGGTGGCGGCTTGCTGATCTCTGAATCCAATAGTGTCCTTCTTCTCTTCTGAAGGGTGCGGCACAGTTCTCTATTATCCTGCACCGTAGAATCCAAGAAATCTGATAGCCTTCCTTCATTCTGTCCCGTTTCTGCTTTTACATTGGCTGGGTTTTTCCTGGTAAATCCATAATCTGTTTATCAAGTGGAAATCTAACCACACCCTTCAGTATTCTCTCCGGGACATGATTTTTTCATTTTTTGCAATATGAACAGACTAGAAGTTTTCCAGATCTTTAAATTCTTGTTCATTTTTGCTTATCAATCCCTTCTTCATGTCTTTCTTCTTGCACTTTTCTTCTTCTCCTTATGAGCAGTAAGGAGAAACCAGGCTATACACCTTCTACACCTTGCTTAGCAATCTCCTCAGCTAGAGTCCCAAGATCATCACTTTTAACTTCTCCACACAACATAAGAACACAATCCAGCCAACTCGGTTTTGTTTTGGTTTGTTGGTTGCCATTTTATTATAAGGATTATCTTTCTTCCTGTTTCAGAGACCTCACTAGAATCACCTTTAACACTCGTCTTTCTCCCCATAGTCCCTTGAAGGCAGTCTGGACTTTTAAAACATGTGCCTCAAAACCCTTCCAGGCTCTGTCTATCACCCAGTTCCAAAGCTGCTTCTACACTTTTAGGTATTTGTTACAGAGCATCCCATTTCTCAGTGCCAAAATTTGCATCAGTGTGCTATGGGTGACCAGAAAAAACTGTATCTTACAGTTCTGGTGCCAGAAGTCCAAGCCCAAGGTACAGGCCAGCTGGTTTCTCCTTTGGTCTCTCTCCTTAGCTTGCAAATGGCTGCTTTATTGCCGAGTCTTTGAATGGTCTTTTCTCTGCACATGCTCACTTCTGGTGTATTTTTCTCCACATATAAAGGTGCCAATCTTTTTGGATTAAAGCCACATCTTTTAAAGCTTAATTACCTCTTTTTTTGGTCAGTGCTGGGGACTTAGTTTTTACTGTTATTTTGATTTTGAGACAGATTCTTGGTAACTTGCTAACTTGCCCAGTCTGGGCTCAAATTGGAGATCCTCCCGCCTCAGCTTCCCAGAGTGTGGGAATTAAAAGTACGTGTCACTGTGCTGGGCTACCTAATTACTTCCAGAATGTCTGAATTTCTAAATATGGCTACATTGGCAGACAGAGCTTCAACATATGAATTTGGGGGATGGGAGAGACGCAATTTCATCCACAACATTCTCCAGTACAACTGGTGGCACAATATACACATTATCCCACCTTATTTTTTTCATTTTCCTATACATTTTGGAGGTCTCACCAATGCACAGCCTTCTGTCAGTTGCACCGTAACCCATCATAGATAAAACCATAATTGCACTGTCTTCTAATAGCAGAAATTTAGGTCATTCCAATCTTTTATAAGAACCAGAAAACGCTGTAATGTACTTGTACGTATGTCATTTTACACAAGTACATTTGCAATTCTATTGTAGCATGAACAAGCTAGCTGTGGAAAGATACGGCTAAAAAAGATGTGTTTGTAATCTTTACAGCTATTGCCAACTAGCCCTGAATTGAACTTCTGCTTTCTGTGCAATGTTTTCATTATTCATATTTTCTACCTAGCCTGCTGTTTCGGTTTAGATTTTCTGTTTGACTTAAGGATTTTATTAAAGATGGAATTTTTAAATACGTGGATGCTAGAGTTGTTTACTTGGGTTTTTTTTTTTTTTTTTCTAGTTACAAGCTGTTTCTTTTGTTGTGGTGGTATTGGGAATCAAACTCAGGACCTTATACTTGCTAGGCAGGCACTTGTACTGCTGAGCTACATCCCTAGCCCCATTTTTTTTTTTTTTTTTTTTTTTTCTTTTTTCTAAAATTATTAATTTTGGGTTACACTGCATGCTGATCTATTTAGGAATTTGTTGAGCTTGTCATATCTACTGTATGTGGTCCATGAGAATCTTTTCCACAGGTAAATTAAAAAGTTGATTCTCTGTGCTTGGTGTATATAACATGTAAAGTTGCAGGGAGGACTCTACTTGACCTGTCATGGTGATAGAAATGAATTTAAATATCCTACCAGGAAGAAGCTTCTGCCATTGTCCTACTTCCTGTAGTTTGTTCTTCGTGAGTCCTGTCACTTGCTACAGATATTTGCACCCGTGAGGTCTTCTCAACAGACTGAACTCCTAGTCAGCATTAAGAATCTTCCTTGTCTCGGTGCCCTTCTGCTCTGAACTGGTGTTCAGTATGCGACTCCTGCTTCTTTTTCTCATTTTAGGTAGTGTTTTCTGTTTTTTTTTTTTTTTTGGTTTTTGGTGTTTTTTTTCCCAGTACCAGGGATTGAACTCACGACCTTGCGCTTGCCACGCAGGTGCTGTGCCGCTGAGCTAAATCCCCAGCCCCTGTGTTTTCTGTTTTTATTGCCTCTTGCTTTTCTTTCTACCCTGTGATATTTCTTTCATTTTAGATGTGTCTGCTGACGAGTTTAGGGAGTTTGTACTTTCATTTTGCCTTCATCTTAGAGCCACAATGTCGTGGAAGATACTAAAAACCTCTGCTCCTTTCTGCACTACTTTTTTAAAGCTTTTATTGTATTATTCCATGTTTATAGTTCATAATGGTCACATTCCCTGTGGGGAGTCGGTGTGTGTCCACAACATCTTAGCTCCTCTTTCTCTCCCTTCCTCTTCCCTCCCCATTCCTTCAGTCACTCGGCCTCCTTCCCTTTTGCAAAAGGTCTACCTCCCTGCTTCCTTTTATCTTTTATTTTGCCTTACAACTTATTTATATTATGACTTTCTCATATAAGAAAAATCATGTGATATTTAAGCCTGTATATCTGGTTTATTTCACTTAACATTCTGGTCTCAAGGTGCACCCATTTTCCTACGAATGACTCGAGCTGGACAATCCTTTGTAAACTCTGCTATGGCCAGTGTCAGGCTTCCCATCTTTTCACTTCTCTCCTCTTTCATCACCCAATTTTAATGGGCTATGTATGTGTTTTAGTGTTCACCTCAATTCCTCTACATACTTACACAGCTGTGACACCTCACATATTAACTGTGTGTAAGTAATACATTATAGGTCACATAACAGATGATAAAATCGACCTATACACCTATGTCTGTATTTCCATCTTCAGTTGTACTTATTACATTTTATACCTGTTACTTCAAACGCTTTGCTTTTCTTTCAATTTTAGTCCATTACTATAATGAACTTCATACTTTCTGACATTTCGCTAGTTTTTCTTCATTGCATACTGTTTGACTAAAATTCGTCTTCAAGTAGTTTCTTAAAAGGCTGTCCAAAAGCATATTTCCTTGGTCTTTGGATACTCAAAAATTTCGTACTGCAAGGTTTATTGGTGCACCCCCATAATCTCAGCACTTGGGAGGCTAAGGCAGGAAGATCGCCACAAGTTTGAGGCCAGCCTGTGCTACATAATGAGTTCAAGGCTAGCCTGCAGTGCATAGCAAGACGCAGTCTCAAAAAACAAGCAAACAAACACATAACAACAAAAAATTATGTTGTACTGTCCTTTAACCTGAATGACCACTTATGAATAAAATTCTTGGCTCACAGTTCATTTTCTTTTTTTTTTTTTTTTTTTTTTTTTTTTTGGTTTTTCTCCGGTACCGGGAACCGAACTCACGACCTTGCGCTTGCCAGGCAGGCGCTTTTGCCGCTGAGCTAAATCCCCAGCCCCTCACAGTTCATTTTCTTTTGAGGATTTTATAGGCAGCACCCATCTGACCCCACCCCCAGTCTGGCATCTGGTATTCATCTTGCTGGGGAGGAGTCTGAGGTCATTTGACTCTCTGTACAAGTAGGGTAAGCATACGTCCATGTGTCCCGGGGGAAAAATAACAGCTTCCCACTGTTAGCGCCTCCTTTCTCACAAGTTCTCTGGGTTAGATAATACATCATATAGCCAAATTTAGGATGGTTTCTTCTTTGCCAGTCTGGATGCCCAAGGATTCTTTCAGGTCTCAGCAACTTTACTGGCTATCCTGCTTCTCTTCCATCTTCAGATCTGTTCTCTGCTCCCCCCACTCCCCACTAGGGCCCAGAAGCCTGCCTCATGTGGGTTCTCTTGCATTCAGGCTCCAGTTGGGTTTGGCCAATAGAAGCACTGACTAGAGATCAGAGGGCGTGGAGGAGTCAAATCAGTGTCTTTAGTCCCTTGAGTGGTCCCTACAGACCGTCCCTCTCTTCCCACAGCCCACAGGTAGCATCAGCACCCTGTTGTGACCTCACCCTACATCATACAATACTTTCCCCACATCCTGTCAAAACCTTTATAAAGAGTTCTTTAATGAACTCTCCCCAGTTTACTTTGAGTGTGCCATCTACTTCCCAGGAGGACATGACCAGGTTATGGCTCAGTAGGGTTATTCTGTATCATTTTCCCCCAGGGTAGAGTATCCTCCCAAATTGTAGATTAAAATCTTATTTCTGGAAATTTTTCTTAAATTATGTCTTGAAATAGTTTTGCTGTTTCATTATTACTATTTTGTTTTTCTTTTTGAGGCAGGGTCTGGCCATGCAGTTCAGGCTGGCCTTGAGCTCACTTTGTAGCTCAGGCTGGTCTCAAGCTCGCGATGATCCTCCTGCCTCAGCCTCCCAAGTGCTGGGACTACAAGCGTGTGCCACCACGCCTGACACTGTTTCATTATTTTGATTACTCTTCTTGTGGCCTTCTGGCTGTTTGCTATGGTTTTTCTCTATATCACCCTCTTCCTCAAGCTTTGTGTGCTCATAGGCAGGGCTTTTGAAAGGCAACTGAATCATGGCGGCTGTAGACCTAAATGCACCCTTAGGAGGTGGAGCCTGGTTGGAAGAGGAGGATCACTGGGGGCTGCCCTAGAAGGGTGTAGCTCCCTCTCCAACTCCTCCCTCCCTCTCTGCTTCCTGGCCACCACATGCGAGCAGCTTTCCTCTGCCATGCCCCCTCTGCCATGCCGATTCTGCTTTGGAGCTGGCTGACCCTGGACTGTAGCTGTGAGCCAAATTAAACTTCTTCCCCTTTAAATGGTAGTTGTCAGGTCTTCTGTCCCAGCAACAGGGCCTGACTCAGACACTGTCCTTGGACCACCAGTCTGTCCTTTTCCTCTCTAGCCATTAAAAATCTGTTTAAATTTCTATTTCATTTTGATCACTTTTCTCAGTCTACTTTTTGCCTCCCTATTTGTGTTTCCCGAGGTTCTTATTCTCCTTTAGGTTGCCTCCAACTTGGTTTTCATTCTAGTGAGGGAGATGGTTTTCTTTTCACTTTTTTTGTTGAGAACCGTCCTGACCAGCTTTTTCTAAGCTCGGTAGCAATGTCATCTACAACTCCACGGACTCCTGCTGTCTTTCCCTGCTTTTGTCTGCCCTTCCCCTGATTCTGAGCTTTGGATTTTCTAGTGAGTCTTGGTTTTATGATGTTTACATTTGCTTCTCATTCTCATAGGTCCTTGGGTGATTCCCAAGAGAGGAAACGGCGAGCACTTAAATCCAGCATTATTAAAACCAAAACTTCTCCAAAGAGTATTTACAGAGTCTATCACTTGAAAAGATGTGTGTATTAAAATATTAAGTGCTAAGAGTAGGAGTCATGGTTACATATTTGGTACAACTAAAGCAATCTTTTTAAAAAAACTGTTTATAGAAAAAGTTAACAAGCAGTAACACATTAACAGGTCATCTTTGGTTGGAGAGATAAATGGTGTTCGGACAGAAGCATCCCCAAGATCCCACAGGCTCATAAGGGAAGGGTACAAGCCTAGGGGTTCAGAAAAGATTTCCCAGAGACTAAATCCAAAGAAGTGAGCAAAAATTGATCTAGGGAAGATGAGCAGGGTGAACATTTCAGGTTTAAAATACAGTAAATAGGAAAACAGGGGCTGGTGAAGCATCCTTACTCTCTCGGTTTCTCAAGATTCCTCTGCTATCTCTCTCTCCAGGAAGGATGCGATCATCGTGGTTGGTATAGCTAACATGGATCCCAGAAAGAATGCTTACCTAGAGTACCGGGTCGGCACCATCATCATCCACAAGAACTTTGATAACAACTCCATGAGCAATAACATAGCCCTCCTGAAGACAGCCTCAGCGATACATTTCGATGATCTGGTCCAGCCCATCTGCTACCTGGGGAAGGAGCTGCCTAGGCTCCCAGCCTTGCAGAACTGCTGGGTGTCAGGATGGAATCCCACATCTGCAGTTAATGCAATCCTTCTCCTAGAGGAGGCTGTGTGTGTGCTGGCAATGGGGGTGACTTGGATGAACTGTTCTAGGGCTTATCTTAACAATTCAGGTCGCTCCAGGTTCCAGTTGGGCTGGAACTCCCCATAATCAGTGGTGATTCCCCATGCTTGTCCTTTCTGGAGCCTTCCTTATATTACATTACACTGGTTCTTTGTCTTCTATCTCTGTCCGCAAACTGAAGTACACAGGTAGCGGACTTCCCAGAATGTGTATTAGGGGAACCAGCACTCATTGTTCTTCTATTCTTTTTTTTTTTTTTTTTTTTTTGTCTTTTTGAGACAGGGTCTTGCTATGCAGTTCAGGCTGCCCTTGAGCTCACTTGGTAGTTCAGGCTGGCCTTGTACTCACAGTGATCCTCCTGCCTCAGCCTCCCAAGTGCTGGGATTACAGGTGTGCGCCACCAAGCCCGGCTGTTCTTCTATTCTAAGTCATCCCTGCTTTCTGTCATTCTCCAGAAAGAAAGAAACAAAGACATTCTTTAGATGTAGAGGAAGGGTGCAATGTGTACTCTTTATGATTACACATTTAAATGCAAAGCAAAGATAGTTTTCAGTATAAACTCAGATACCAGTCCTGATTTCTGTGAAGACAAGAGATTCATAGGAACATTTTTCTACTTATTTCCATTTGTATATGTGAGTTGCAGTTGCATTGACTTAAGGGGCTGCCTTCTTAACAATTCATGGGCTCTCTGTTGCATGGTCCAGACAGGAAATCACATGACAATGAGTATCCTGAGGAGAATCTCTGTGAAGGACCTCAACTTGTGTCCCCTACACAAACTCCAGAAAACAGGCTGTGGCAGTCACACAGAGCGGGAAACTGATGCTGTCTGCTTGGTAAGAACATAATAAAGTAGAAGCTAAATCCTGAGAGTAAGCATTGGTTATGTTAAGGGGGTCTTGGACCCCATGAGGGCAGGGACTATGATGTGGGATTCATGGATGTCTCTGAAGGGAACAGCACTTGGCACATAGCAAGTGTTCAGTAAAAATCTGCTGATGGACTAACCAGCTACCATTTTCTCTGTAATGCAATTAAGGATATCTGAGTTATAGATGATTGATTGATGATTGATGATTGATTGATGATACAGAATATTGAATCCTGGGCCTATACACTGAGCTACACATGCAGTGCTTATTTTTTACTTTTATTTTGAGACAGGGTCTTGCTAAATTGCTAAGTTGCCCAGGCTGGGTTTGAATTTGCAAGCCCCCACCTCAGCCTCCCAGAGTGCTGGGAGTATAGTGTGCCACAGTGCTGGCAACAGATGTTCTGTAACAAGCTAAAAGTGTGACAATGTGAGTCTAAACTCTATAGGCAAATATACCTCAAGCAGGTCTATGGTGTGGGGGTCACTGTGACTAGCATCCTCCAATGCTACTGTTTATCAGACACTGGGGTTTTCTGTATGAAGCCCTACTGTACATATATGGTTATCCTACTGTCTCACGGTACATACAGAACCCACAGACACTTATATAAGCCCTGCCCCCATGTTCAAACTCAGAGAAAACCCCAGTCTAGTGTGTGCTCCTGGGAACTCTGGCTCTGCCCAGCTCCCTGCCCATCCCACGAGGGCTGCAGATGGGAGGGGGCCGCTTAGATGGAAGAATGGAAGCAAAATGAGAGAAAACAGGGAAATAAAATCAGCACAAGCCAGGAATGAAAGAAATACCAACCTTCGAGAGACAAGACACTAAAAGACAGGGATGATTCTTGTTATATTACTAGAAAGGGGCAAGAAAATAAAATACAAATCAGGAAGCTATAGGCAATTTTCAGGAGCCCACAAACAATTCGTACAGTAAAACTAAAAGTCACCACGTTGGATTTGTAGTCATAGTTGTCTAGACTTGAAAGAGTATCCTATAATTTGCCCTATTTCCAGGGAAAACCAGTACAAGACATTTCTAGAATGAATAGTAAATTGCACAAGGATCTATTAAGAAAGAAAACAAGTTCTTTTCTGAGGCCTGAAGTCTTCTGTCCTTTGTCACAGGGGGAGCCAGGAAGCCCCATGATGTGCCAGCTGCAGGGTCTGGATCTGTGGGTTCTGAGAGGACTCCTGACCCACGGTGGTGAGAAATGCCCTGGCTTCTATCTGTACACCAAGGTGGAAGACTACAGCGACTGGATAACATCCCAGGCTAGCATGGCTGGCCCTCCTCTGTCTTCGCTCCACCACTGGCAGAAGTTGATCCATTTCTCCCACCGCAGATTCCCTGCCGTCGTGACACGGAATGCATATTCTCAACAGGGCCAAGTTGGATGGTCCCAATCCTACTCCCGAGGACAAAGAAAGTCCATGGTGCATCTAAAGCAAGCAAACAGCTCTAGCTCTAGACATAGTCTAGACCATAGGGTAAAAGGTCTACAGCAACCAGACAGTTCTATAGAGGTGGCTGGTCAACACATGTACTATGACTACAATGGTGGGCAGGCTGGGAAGATGTCTTTTGCAGGTCAGGACACAGTGCAGCCCCAAAAAATCATCTTGGTTTTCTTCATGCTTGTTTTCTTTGGCAGCAGTGTGTAGATCTAGGAGTGAACCCATCAAACTGAAGAGAAAACTCAGAATGTTGAGTGCCAGGCATCCCCCATGCTGTTGCGGTGTCTCGTTTTGACAGTTGCATGCCTGGGCTGCTGCAGATAGACCCACGGCATGTGCCGGGCTGGCTCTCCCTCCTCTGTTCCACTCCCACTGTGGGAAGGTCACTTTCATTTGTGCTTGTGAACTAAATGTCAAACCATTAGAGTGCCCTGTGGTTCTTTCACCGGTGTTAATGGTTCAGGCCAGGCTGTAAAGACAGTCCCCAGCATCAGATGTGGCCAGGAAGGTGATAATCAGCATGGCTGGGGAGTGGAGGACACCAGCCAGCACAGGGAACAGTGAGAGGACCTCATGATTAAAAAGTGTTGAATCATTTAATGGGTCATTCTTGTCTGCAAGCTGTGGCCTAACCCTGGTTATTTCCCAGGGGGCAAATCTGCCTGCAACTGCTCATTGGTTATTTTCATTCTATTCCAAGTCTTGCGGTAGCCTTTTAAGGACATCTGCAAAAAATGAAAGAGGGGGAGGGGAAGAAGGTCACTTGGTGTGTCCACTCCGAATGCAGCTCTCATACAGCCCTGCTGCTGGTACAGGTGACTTTGTGGGAGGCAGAGCCCTATCCTGCATGCGCTGGGCAGGGGCCACCAGGGTGGGAGCCACCGGGGAGACTCTTCTGAAGCATGTATTTCTGTTCAGTGAAGAAAGAAAGTGCAGGGTTTTGCTACAATTCTGTGCCACTTTGCGGTTCCAGACCAATGGGCCCATGTTTGACACCTAATTTACTGCCTAGCACCAAGTGACCACAGCAAAAGGAGAAAGCAACATGGAAAATGGTGCCAGGACCCAGATGTGAAACGCCGAGCTCATTTCCCAAGCACCCTGATTGGGGTTTTTTTGGTCATGCTTGTTGATATTATCGAGGTATTGAGAATTGAACCCAGGGCTTCACACACTAGGCATAAGCTCTACCACAGCTACATCCTGGTCCATTTTATTTTTTATTTTACTTTGAATCAGAGTCTGTCTAAGTCACTAACTTGCCCAGGCTGGCCTTGAACTTGCCACCCTTCAGTCTCAGCCTCTCAAGTAGCTGGGATTACAGGCAGATGCCACTGCATCCAGCTCTCTAGCTAGGTTTTAAACTACACTAATGATGTCTTTTATAGACCTCAGTGTGTGACCTGGCTGTGGCAATCTTGGTGTGCTCCTTATTTCTGAAACAAACGTGTTGTTTTCATGTTGCTCATATCTCTTCTGCAGCTCACAAGGAACCAGGGATTTTCTGTGTGTTCTGCACCATATTCAAAGGCTACAGGATTAGTTAGAAGCTTGAAGACTCACAGCAACTATATAAACACTTGGAACTGGCTTTTAAGTGATATTAAAAATCCCTTATTTTATTTTTTATTTAAAAAGCTGACTTTTTCATGTATACAGTAGCAAAAACTAAATTACCCACAGTGCAGAAAGGTTCAAAAGTTTCTAGAATTCATTAACAAGCAACTAAAAACACAATATTACTAGAGTGTCTCCCCAATACCTCAATAGACTGTCCCTAACAAGGAAAAAAATTTTTTTAAAATCACCCTTCATTTTGGTTTAGTAGTTAAAGCAACTGCTGAAATTTCTCACAGACCTACTATGTCCAAACACCTCTATACTGTTAGCCAAAAATCAAAATTCTAGACAAAAAAGTTGATGGCACAGAAGACTGGCCAATCCCATCGACAAGGCTGAGACAACGAGGCTCAGGTCCATCTTGGGGTGACTCACCTCCGCAATCTCCACTTTCCGCTCCCACATCTTGATGGTCTTCTCCAGGTCCTTATTTAAGATCTTCTCCCGGACATACGTCATCACCGGCGGCACCCGGAACTCAGCCATCTGCTTCCGCAATTTCTTGTTCAAAGCCTCTGCTTTGGCTCGGTCCTGGGTTGGGACGGAAAGATTACCCAGGGAGCCTCAGTAGCTTCTGCTTTGAGGACCTGCTGGTCCTACTATTTCTCCCCACAGTCTCAGTGTAGTTCTAAGAATAATGGTGAAATTTGCAAAGGGTAGGGAAATCACAATGTTCTCTCTCTCTCTCTCTCTCTCTCTCTCTCTCTCTCTCTCTCTCTCAGATTGTGATGTTTTAATGTGGTTCAGAAACACCAGTCTTTCCCTTCCTTTCCTTCCCTTCTTTCCCTTCTCTTCCTATCCTTTTCTTATTTTCTTTCTTCCTTTCCTTTATTAAGGAATATACTTATTTTGATTTGTTTTTTGTGTATGAAAAATTATATTTAAGTATATTTTTATTTCATCAGTCTCAACTCATTTTCCTGTCTTATTATTGTTATAAAATACACATAACAAGATTTTCTATTTTATGCATACACTTCACTAGCATTCAGTATACTCACATTGTTGTAAAACCATCATCACCACCCATCTCCAGAACTCTTGTATCTCCCCAAACTGCAACTCTAACCCCTTTAACAGTAACTCTCCTTGTCCCTTCCTTAAAGCTCCTGGTGACCACTATTCTTTCTGATGCTGTGAACTGACTGTTGTAGGTATCTCATGTAAGTGGAATCATACTGTATCCATCCTTTCTTGACTGGTTTATTTCACTCAGAATAATGTTCTCAAGGTTTATCACATGTTAAAATGCCCTTCCCTCTTAAGGCATGTCCATCGTGTATATATATAAGACATTTTGTTCATCTATTTGTCCATAATGAACACTAGGTTTCTTTTACCTCTTGGCTACTATGAATAATGCAGCTATAAATATGGGTATACAAAAAATACCTATTCAAGTCTCTGCTTTCAATTTTTTTGGTCATTACCCAAAAGAATTACTGGAACCTATGATAATTTAATTTTGTGATGAGTGTCTTTTTAATTTTTAAAAAAATTATCACAGTAAAATTAGTCCCTTTTTTTTTAACTAGTCCTTTTAATTGAGTGGATTTTTAAAAATTAGCATTGTCCTTTCAATTTTTATCCTACCAATTGTTTTGTGTAGGCAACACATTTGGAAAAATAACACGTTCAGGCCAGTGTGGCAGTGCGTGCCTGTAATCCCAGCACATTGTGATGCTGAGGCAGGAGGGTTATGAGCTCTTAGTGACTTAGTAAGACTCTGTCTCAAAAAAATTTTTTTTTAAAAAAGAGGATGGAGGGCTGGGGAAGTGGCTCAGTAGTCAAGCTCATACTTTGTATGCATAAGGCACTGGGTTTGATCTCCAGCACCACCCAAAAAAAAAAAAAAAAAAAAAAAAGGAGGCTGGGGATGTGGTTCAGTGCAAAGCCCTTGAGTTCGGTTGCTGGAACCACACACAAAAAAGTTCAAACATCTTTACTTTTAGTCCTAAAAACAAAATCTTAAATGAAAACGTTGAGGGCATGAAAGACTTGCAACACTACATCAAAATGCAATATCATTTTGGGATTCTCCATTTAAATAGTCTAAAGTTCAGGTGACAAGCTCCCATTACCACCCTGCACCCCACTCATGGAAGTCTTTCCAGAAGCATATAGTACTTTGAGGTTTTCTATAGCCTTCCAGAGAATCAAGCCAATAAAACATGTATTTTTTTTCTGTTTTTCTATTTTATTTTAATATAATACAAGTAGATATTAATAAAGAAAATATAAAACACTTTTGTTTTATGAAAAAATAAAATTTCATAATAACAAAATAGAGAATAACCATGGTCAACATACTGTGCATCATGATCTTGAAAGAATGACCAAAATGTTACTCACAGTACAAGTTAGGTGCAAAGGATTCTTTCCTACTGTGAGGAATGTTTCTCTTTTTTGACGCAAAAGGTAGCATATTCTATTCACTTTTATTAATCTAGCTTTTTTTTTCATTCAAATCTTGAAGCTTCCTCTGTATCAGTGAATGATTTATGCATTATTTTTGACAGCTGCATGATTTTCCTTGGGTGTATATCATAAATTAAGGAGTCTCCCATGAAGAGTCACTTAGCTTTCCCATCTCTTGCTACTATAACAAATAATGCTGCAACTACTAATCTTCTGAAAATAGTCACGTTGTAAATATGCAAGTTTATCAGTAGGACCAACTACTTAGAGTGAAGCTGCTTGTTCTAGTGGTTCTCACCAGAGGTGATTTTGCCAAGGGACATTTGGCAATGTCTGAAGAAATGTTTGTCACAGCTGGGGGGATCCTTCTACCATTTGGTAGAATAAAGCCAGGGATGTTATTAAACATCCCTACACTATCCAAGCCATTCCCTCCAAAAGAAAAAATTATCCAGCCCAAAATGTCAGTAGTGCCTCAGTTGAGAAACCTTGCCCTAAGCATATGTACATGTTTGTGTTTGCTAATTAGTGCTAAATTGCCCTCCATAATGACCAACTAAATTACATTTCTGCAGCAACGGTTGCGACTGCCAGTTCCCCCTCTTTGCTCATCTTGTTCTTATCAATTATAACCTTTGTTAATCTAGAGAGAAAGTAATATCCTGTTACAGCTTCATTTCGGATCCTTCACATTATGAGATAGAATATTTTTATCTGTTTGAGAGTTTTTAGCTTTCCTGCACATTGTTTAAAACCTTGTTTTTTCTAGTAGTTCATTTATTCTTATTAGTTTGCAAAAAATTTTTAAAAATAGGTAGTTCCTTGTAACTGGATGTGGTGGTCCACACCTGTAATTCTAGGTACTTAAGGGGCTAGGGCAAGAGAATCAAAAGTTAAAGGCCAACTGGGCAATTTAGCAAGAACCTACCTCAAAATAAAAAATTTTAAAAGGCTATGGATGTAGTTCAGTGGTAGAGCACTTGCCTAGCATTTGTGAGGTCACAGATTCAATCCCCAGCACCCCCACTAATTCCTTGTGGTGTTAGATATATTTTCCAATTATCTTTTAACTTTGCTTATAGTTTTTGCTTTGCAGAAAAGTTTTCAGTTCTATACAGCTGACTTTACTGATTTCATGTTTTTATGTTTTTTGAAAGGTTTCCTCATTCCAACATTATAATAAAATCTTCCCATTTTTTAAGGGCATCAATAATTTTATCATTTACATTTAAATCTCTGATATACCTGACTTAATTTCAGTATACGATATAGTTCCAACTTTATTTTTTTGTAAATTGCTACTGAGTACACCTAATCATTTATTCAAATATCTAGGGGCTGGGGCTGGGGATTTAGCTCAGCGGCAAAAGCACCTGCCTGGCAAGTGCAAGGTCGTGAGTTCGGTTCCCGGTACCAGAGAAAAACCAAAAAAAAAATAATAAATAAATATCTAGGGGGTGGAGATTTAGCTCAGCAGCACAGCGCCTGCCTGGCAAGCGCAAGGTCATGAGTTTGAGTCCTGGTATCAGAAGAAAAAAACAAAACAAAACAAAAAAATATCTAGCTGCCCTTTGCTTAATGCAATACCACTTTTATCAAAAAGATATCAATACCAAAACGTCATCAGACACTTGATCACACACACATCATATATGATCTATTTTGGGCTAACTATAGGACCTTATATATTTTTCTTTGAACTTGGTCTATTAATTAACATGTTTTTAATAATTAATTCATAACATATTTAGAATCTGAAAGATCTAGCCCTCTTACTTACATATTAACAATTTTGTGGATATTCACTTATTTCTCCAAAGAAATTTTTGAGTCAGTTTATTTAGACTTTAATCTCTGTTGGTATTTTCACCGGAATAGCATTACTTCATGAGTCAGTTTAAAGAGGACTAACATTTTATGACGTTGAATCTACCTTACCAAGTACTGCCTTTTAATTTCTTGCTTCACAAAGTAATTGGGTCACTGTATCATCCGAGAGCTGGTTAAAAATGAAGACCAGTTATTAAGGAGAACTCACCTGAAACAGCACTCATCCCTGGTTGTCAGGGTTACCATATCCATGACCACACCTGCACCCTCTAAGGATCAGTATCAGAGGATACGAGCAGCAGGGACGGCGGGCTTTAATGACCTAGTCCTGCCAACTCACTAAACAATGACAAGCCCGAGGGTAGGTGATTTCCCACAATCACTATATATTATCTAAAATGTACACCTTTCAACAAAAATTATAAGATAGGCAAAGAAAGAGAAAAGCGTAATACACACAGGCAAAATAAACTGCCTTTAGGAAAGTCCAGATGGTAGACATAGCAGACAGTGATCAGAGCAGCTATGTAAAGACTCAAAGCTATTCAAACTTTAAAGACTTAGTGGTCAACATGCAAGATTAATCAAAATAATTAATCATTAACTGTTCCTTTCAATAAAGTGATAGAAGTCAGTAGTACAATGTTTTCGTTCTTTTACTTCTAAAATTAAAAAAAAAATAAAAAATAAAAAAAACTTTAAAGACTTAAAGGAATGTATGATAATGTTTCATCAAACAGAGAATATAAATAAAAAATAGAAATTAAGACAACCAAATTGAACATCTAGGATCTTTTTCAATATGATAACTAAAAGGAAAATTTTACTAGATGGAAATCAACAGTAGGCTTAAACCATCAGAAGAAAGAATCAGTAGATGAAGACAGGCTGATAGACAATTATACAATACTAAAAATGAGAGAAAAAAGCAAAAAGGAATAGACTCAGGGAAATATAGAATACCACTGAGTGTACCAACACACATGTAAAGGACATAACAGAAGAGAAAGGAAAAGAAAATATCCATAGACTCAAAAAACCAAAAACTCCCTAAATTTGATTTTAAAAAAAATAGCTACACACACAAAGAAGTCAATAAACTCCAAGTAGGATATATGCAAAGAAATCTAGCCCCAGACACATCACACTCAAAATGTTTCACGACAAGGCAAAGAAAAAATATTGAAAACAGCAAAAGAAAATAATTCATCACATTTAAGAGAAAAAACAATAAAAAAGCAATAAGATTAACAGCTGAGGCCAGGTGTGGTAAAAATGCTGTAATCCCAGCACTTGAGAGGCTGAGGCAGGAGGATCGCTGTGGGTTCAAATCCAGCCTGGATGATATAGTGAGACTTTTCCTTAAAAAAAAAAAAGCTGGCTTTTTTTGTAGAGGATGTTATTCTCCATAAAAGATGTGATGTGCCGCCAGCGGTGGTGGGGCACATTTGTAATCCCAGCACTCTGTGAGTCTGAAACAGGAGGATCATAAATTCAAGCCCATCTGGACAATTTAGGAACTTATTGAGATGTCACAAAACAAAACTATAAAAAGGGTGGGGGTATAGCTCAGTGCAGAGACACTGCAGTCAATCCCCAGTACTAAAAAAAAAAAAAAAAGGCTATGATGTAGATGACATGACAAAACTGGGTCACATGGAGTGACCCTGTGGCTTCTTGGCTCTTGCAGGCAGGCTTGGGGCCACACATGCTGATGGAGCTGCTTCAGACCCACTCAAGATAATCACCCTAACAACTATATTAATAGCTTCAGCAGTTGACAAAATCTCTTTATGTGTGGACCCACTGGTTCACCCCACAAAGGCTGCGTCCTCTATTTCACACACGTGGAAAAGTCTGATCTTATTCAAGGGCCCGTGCAAGGCTGGAAGCCAGCAGCACCAAACGGAGACCAGGCTTTCTGACTTTGAGCCCAGTGCTTTCTCCTGTACCCTCCTAAAAGGATCCTCTTTGAATCGTATCTTATGTTAAATTTTATCTCAAAGTTTCAGGAAAAGTTGTATGTGCATTCAGCTACATATGCTCAGGAAAATGACTTGCTGATTCTGCCTACCTTTTCCCACTGACCGCAGGCCCTGGGGGCCACTATTCCTTAGTTGGTCCCTGAGATAGGCTGCTCAACCTGTGTGTATCCACTGTACCAGTGGACGGTTACATCTTTAAAGAGGCCACACTCTCTCTTCTCTGTGTAAAACATTTTGGCCTGTGAACTTTCTCTCATATTAGTTAGGCAGTCACATAAAGAGTATACATTTTTTGACACTGAACTTTAAATATTGTATTTTATTGGTCAATTAGGGGATTCTTAGGTGTTACTTAGATCCCATGAAATTTTTAATTTGTTAGCTGACTCTAGCACTTCACTCAAAAGTAACTGCAGCATGACTGGGCTGCATATCTATTTGATGACTCAGAGCTATTTTGATTTTTGTGGTGTAGGCTTCTTCAATAAATAACTAATGTGTCATAGGTCTCAGAGGACCCCGACTGAAGCCCTTGCAGACAGAAGGGGACAAATGTTCTGTTTTTCCTCTCCTACCTCCTCTACTTGTAGGGTTTCTCTTTGAATTTTTTCAAGCAGTTCATGTCTCAGCAAGATCTCCTTGTCCAAATTGTTGTACATTTCCATTGCTTGGTGGAGCTTGTTCTGAAACACATCAACACAGCAAGTCTTGAGCTAAGAGGACCTCGAAGAACTGCAAGAAGCACAGGCAAAGAAACCCTGGTCTGCCTTTCCCACAGGTGCTCAGGCTTTCAGGAGCCTAGTCTCTGAGCAACAGTGGTGCAGGAGAGGCCCTTAGGATCTTGCCCTCAGCCGGAGAGGCAGAGTGGTCAGATTCACCAAGACCCAAATCCTTTCTTACTAAGGGAAACGTTGGGCAAGTCCCAGACTTCTCAAAGCTTGGTCTGGTTGCCTTGTAGGAGGCTGACAGGACATATCCATAGAAAGCTGAGTGCAGTGCCTGGCATAGGGAGGACACACTTGACACACAGCTCACAACTACCTCTCTAGGATGGTGAGGGAGAAACACTCCATAGCAGGTGGGTGCTACTGCTATACCCACTTACAGCAGAGAGTACTGGCTTTTACGGAGGTGAAGCAGTTTGCTCAAGTTCACAGAGATGGGGGAGCCAAGATCTGAACACAGCAAGTGTGATTCCCTGGCTCATGGGCCCCTTCACTGTTTCAGTTGGCTCAAGAGGTCTGGCTTGCTTGGGGTGCGGGTGGGGGTCCTGCAGAAGCTTCCTCAAAGATTTCCCTTCCATAATCTGCCCTCTACCAGATCCCCCAGGTCCCTGTTTCCTAGATTTGAATCACTTTCCCTCAGCAAGGATCAGCCAGAGAAGTCGGGAAGTGCTCTGCTTGGCCGAGGACTGGGCCCAGGGAAAGGCCACTGATTTCACGGAGCTCACTCACCCTGGGAACCCTGGGAACCCTGGGAGCCCACCCTGCATCAGGCATGTCAGTGAAACAACATAGCCCCTGGCTGTCACAGTCCAGACAGAGGTAACAGGCAGTCAGATCACTGCGAGAAGACTGGTAAAACTGCAGCTTGTCAAGCTGTCTGGATGCCAGGACAGGGATTGGAGAAGGTTGTCCTGGGAAGGATAGGGGAAAGAGAGCTGAAAAGATGCATCGAGCATAGCTCCAGGAGGAGGCAAAAGAGGAACAGTCCAACCTAAGGAAAGAACCTGAGGGAGGCGATCTAAAAGGAGAGAGAAGAGGTAAGCAAGCTTAGGGTGTCAAAACTTAGATACAGCAAGAGAGCCTGGAGCCACCCGCCTGGGAGACCTTAAAACCTTGGGGCCTGCACCCGCCCCTCCTTCTAGCCCCACACCTGTAAGGCTGGTTTCCTACTCAATGTCCTGAGCTCACTTAAGAGATCAGATGAGGGGACAGCTACAGGGCAGAGAGGCACAGCAGGACTCTGCCGCCACCAGCCATTCAGGTGGGAGGACAGAAGAGCAGAGGGAAGATGCAGGGAAGGAGAGAATGGAACGCAGGGCCACGGCCAGGCGACCATTGGCTCTGCTGGGGCAGGGTCTTCACAAAGCTGTGGAGAGAGCGAAGCATGTGATGATCCATTGAGACGTCAGTCACTTTTGGCTACTGCCAAAAAGGCACGTAGGGTGCCAAATGATCACAGACCTTGTGGCTCGAAGCAACAGAACTTTCTATGGGTCAGAAGTCTGGTGCAGTGTGGCTGGATTCTCTGCTCACAATCCCACCGGACTGAGCTCAAAGTGTCGGCAGGGACTGTGGTTCTTATCTGAGGTTCAGGTCTTCTTCCAAGCCCACTCCTTGTTGGCAGAATGCATTTTCTTGAGGTTGTAGCCCTGAGTCCCTGGGGTTTTTGTTTGTTTTTTTTGGTTTTCTGACTGCCGTCAGGAGGTGGCTTTCAGCTTTTAGAGGCTACTCTCAGTCCCTCCCATGTGACCTCCTCTATCTTCAAGCACGAACAGAGAACTTCCGGCCCCCCAAATTCCCTTTGTGCTTCATATCTCTGACTTCCTCTTCCAGAGAAACTGCTTTCACCAGCCTCATGAGATTAGGTCAGACCCATCTATCATGATCTAATCATGTAACAGGCAGAAAGTGACCAAAGCTGCCACACATAGTCCTGACCAGATTATGCAGGGCATGCACCAGGGACGGAGTCTGGCCACAACTTAGAATACCACTTTCTGCAGGCCCCCAGTCACTAATTTAGCTAGTTGAGAGTGACTCATTGCTGCTGTAGTCACATAATTTCACTCTACCAGACAACACCAGGCAGGCTGGAGGGCATAACATCAGAGAAAAAGGTCCCACTCTGACTCAGAAAAGTCAGAGAAGGTCATGTGTGTCTTGTGCTATAAGTACTGTACCCTCAGTATTTGGCCCTGTGCCTGGCATATTGTAAGTATTGGTGCTTCTTCTAATAGAGGAAAGTCATTCTTCATGTTTTTAACAAGTCTCACCCTTGGGTGTTTGATGCTTATATCGCAGGGGCCTCTCCTGTCACCCTCCCACCCCAACCAAACACACACCTAAGCTGCTAGTGTTCCTTGCACAATATTGTCTGAGCACCAGCTCTGACCACGCCCTGTCCTCAGGGCTGGGGACACAACCCAAACCAGACAAAACTCCATCCTGTGTCCAGACACACTCACATCTGACAGGTGAAGTATCTTGGCCAGATGAAGCACCTCCCATAGCAGAGCACTATTTAATCCCAGGTGAGGTCCAACTCTACACGTCACAAGGGTTCTGAGAAGTGGGATGAGGAAGAAGAGCTCCCGTCTCTGTCTTACCCTATCATGTGTGTCACCTTCAGACTCTTGTGGGGCACATTATGTGCCCCTGCCCTCCCCCATCTGCTTACTGTCACATGAACAGGCCTATAGCACACTGGCCACTAGGATTCCGACCAGACTGGCTCCTGTTTGGCCAGCTGTGGCCTACATCTCTGCCACCCCAGTACTGCAACCAATCAGCATCATGAGTTCAGACCCGCCCTACAGAGCTCAGGCCTGCAACCTGGAAGTTTCATTTTATGAACTAGTAGCTTCTCCACTCCCCAAACCCCACAAGACCAGACAGGCCTGGTGCTACTTAATTGACACACAGGATAAGATCAAGGCCCAGTGTGACCTTGCTGGGTGCTACCAGCTCTCCAGACTGCGAAGGCCTGGGAGTCCTGGGGACTGGCTTCATCTTGAGATAAGAGTGATCAGATACTAAGTATGGATGAGATAAGCTACAAGCAGATGATCTGTTGGACAATTATGACACATAAGTGTCAGAATGCTGGCACAGTATTTTCTACCTGCTCTCGGCCAGGGGAAGGCAGTCGAGTGAGACATACACCGAGCTGGGAGTCCTAGCTTTGTCACCAATGTGGGGCTTGGATGGCAAATACGGTACTCTGCATCTTTCAGACTTGGCTTTTCCATATGTAAAGAGAAAAACATGAAACACAGCCTGGTCTGAACGTATTCAATTCACAGTTTTAAATAATACTGTGTGGGCCAAATGACCCGCCTGTGAGCTCCCTAGGCCCATGGACACCACTGCCACCTGGGCACTGGACTGGGAGTCAGCAAATTTTTTATATAAAGAAACACATATTAGATGTTTTAGGCTTTGCAGGCCCAGAGGCAAAATTGTGGATATTATGTAGTTACTTATATCAATAAGAGAAAAAAACAAAACCAAATTCCTATAAATGTTTTATTGATGACAGTAAAATTGTAACTGAGCTGGAACCCAGCTACTCAAGAGGCTAAGGCAAAAGGATCACAAGTTCAAGCCCAAGCTGGGCAACTTAATGAGACCCTGTCTCAAAATAAAATTAAAATGGGTGAGGGATATAGTTCAGCACTCCCTAGTACAATACACAGTCTGCTGACAGCCGGGTTAGGTGGTCGCTAGAGGGTGACCAGGTAGGTCTGGTCTGCTGGGGACAGGTCTTTTTCATGCCGACTATTCCTGCTTAATTATTAATAGTGCCTCTTCTCTCTTTCTCGAAAGCATTGCATTTGGGTGATAAATAATTTACTAGCTTTCTGGTTTATAGGGAAAACTTTTTTTCACAAGCTTTTAAGCATGGAAGTACTTAATATATGCCTAAATTAACCAGGGCCCTAAATGTGGTTAGCTTTCAAAATATTGTGCATAAAAATCACCTGGGGAATTAAAACAAAACAAAGCACATGGCCCTCACCCTTTATTTCAGTGGGGGAGGGGTGTCAGAGACTCGGGCATGGGTATATTTTTTTAAAGAGAAAAAGCACCCCAGGTGGTTCTCAGGTGCAGCCAGGGTTTGGGGGCACTCAGGGAACTTTAGAAGGCATGGCTTTGTCAAGACAAATGGGGGACAGGGAGGGACACCTAAGCGCTGGGTGAAACTGCAGTGTGCACAGGGACCTCCCCGCGGCCAGGAAGGAGGGTGCAGGAAGCCTTGTGGGGGTGCCGGACACTGGGTGGGCCTTACTTTGTAGGTGCTGAGGACCTGCAGGGTGTTGCCAGATGCCAGCTTCAGCTGAATCAGTTCTTGATTCTTTGCTTCAATCATCTCTAAGAACTGAGCGTTTTCGATGTTCAGCTGCTGAAAATCAACTTCGTGGAGGGCCTCGCCTACCTCTTCCTTCTACAGCTCAGAAGAAAAGAGGGTATTTCAGGCGAGGCTTCCGATGGCAGGCACACACCTTGCAACCTGGTGAGGCTAAGTTATCCGGTCATTTGACAGGCGTACTGGGTACCTGCTGGGAACAGGCACGGTGCTAGGCTCTGGGGATTTGGGTGAACACATGAGGGTGCACAGATGCCTGTAGGTGCTGAGGCAATGGTGTCTCAACAGTGTGGTTGCAGGGATATGGGCAGGAGGACACAGAAGCCCCTTGGCCAGGCCAGGGACCTTCCCAGGGGCAGGGGTGCTTAAGCCAGGCTGTGAAGGAAGAATGGGAATCAGGCCATTTACAAGGCATTTTTAAAATCTGAAATCCAGAAAAAGCAGCCAGTGAATTCCCCCCTCCCCTCGACTCTATATTTTTGCAGGGTGGGTGTTTTTGTTTACGGGGTTCCCTCCTTGACCAGCCCCACCTCCCCTGACCCACCAAGCCCCTGCCATCTTACCGTTGCAGTCGCAGTAGCCCGCCCTGCACCCTGCTATAGTTCCCCACCCCACTGCTCTGCTTGCACCCATGAGCCCTGGGGACTGTGCTTCTTCTCCTTCCCCAAACAACACACTTTCCTTAAGCCCAAGTCAACCCATCCCTCCTGCACCAATGTTTCCAGCCTGCTCTCCGCACTTCTCTCCATTGAGCCTCTGGCAGCTTAAGGCTGTGGCCCTTGTTACTCCCTCCCTAACCCACTCCTCCCAGTCTTAAGAAGACAGGGCCCACGTCTGGGTCATCTTGGAGCAGCAACTGCGTGCAGGCTCAAGGTCATCCATCTTCTCCCCATGTCAAATGCCAGGCCCTCTTCAAGATGCCTGAGCCCGCATGAACCCCTGAGGACCAGGAACTCACCAGCCACAGGCAGCTCTACTGAGGCAAGATTCTGTCTTACACTGAATTTGAAATTCCTTCTCTGACACCTCCAGCCCCAGCGCTGCCCTCAGTGCCCTCCCCATCGGTGTGTTGGCTCTTCTCACTGCAGTTTTCAGAAGCTGGAGACAGTAATCTCGGCCCTCCTGCACCCTCTGCAGTTGAACCCATTGGTCCCAGGCCTTGCGTTGTGTTTCCCATTCCTCTTGACATCATCCTTCATTCCACCCAAACTCTTCTTTCTAGAACTCATTCTTTCAAGTATGCCACTCACACTGGGACACAAACCTACAGGTTGAGTCTGCTCAGAACAGAGCAGGGCTAAGGCCAGTCCTTCCTTGGGCTGGGCACTGTGTTTTTAGGAGAGCCACTTGGGCCCCAGCGTTGCCTCCAGCTGAAGTGACTTTATCGGGTACTCAGAGGCTGAGTCAGCCTGTACTTGTACAGATATTTGGGAGGATTGAAGTGGAGGGTCTTACATTTGTTCTTAGTCATGTTTTTAAAGTTGTCTCAGCTTGTTGAGGTCTTTCGGGATCCTGAGTTAATCAAGCAGGATCCCCTAGACATGTTAATTCTCCTGCCTAATTTTGTGTCACTCTCTGTGGCCACCTCTGATACACATGGCATCAGTGATCATGTTTGAATTCATGATAAAAACACTGAGCAAGAAAAGGATGGAGCTACATATCACTCTGGAGACCTTGAGCCACATCTGCCTTATTGCCTTTACCCCAGAGTCCTTAGCATCAGCTGCTCAAAGAGTCACCAAACCACAGTATTACTGTGCCATCCCAGATACACTCCCCCAAAGGCCAAGTGTTTCATGAGCATCTTTTAACCCAAACAACCCTATCTGCAGAAAACCCCTGCATAAAAATGGTACAAGTTTCTTACAGTTGCTATAACAAATTACCACAAACTTGACCACTGAAAATAATGCAAATACAGGTGTAAATTGTTTTACAGTTCTGAAGTCTGAAGTCTGAGGTGGTTTTTAGAGCTAAAATCAGGATGTTGAAAGGGCTGCTTTTCTTCTAGTGGATCTAGAATGCTTCCTATTTCAAGATTCCAGAGGCTGCCTACATCCGTTGGCTCTTGGCCCCTTCCTCTGTTATAAGTCCTTTATTATGATCTCTGCTTCCTTTATCATATCTTCTCTCACCATTCTCCCTCTCTCTGATAAGGACAGAGCCCACACTGGGCCCAGTCAGGTAATACAAGATCATCTCCTTATCTCGAGGTCCTTAAACTAATCACTTACTATGTAAGACAACTTATTTATGGATTTCAAGGATTAGGACAGGGACATCTTGGAGGGAGGCACTATCATTCAACCAAAGGAGGGAAGGAACGAAAAGGCAGGGAAGGGGAGGACCACATACCTGCCTCAATTGTAAGAGCATTTTTTTCCTCTGAACTTTGAGAGAAACATTTTTCAAACGTAATTTATCCTTCATATTATCCTAAAAGACAGAGGCAGATGTTAATCAACTTCTTTTTCTCAGTTGGTTTGAAAAGTAGATCTGTGGCTGCAAAGCAAACCTTGGCCCTAACATTCATTTATTTATTTTCACACCCTTTTACTTCTTTCCAAGTTGGTGTTGTGGTGGCATTCACTTCAATCATGAGGTGCAGAGGAAATTGAGCCTGCCCCATGCACATTTTACATTACTTTTATTTTTGGGTCTTTTTTAAAATTTAAAACTACTACTCATCAAAAGACCCCTTTACATAAACAGCAAGCCACAAAATGGGAGAAAATATTCACTAACTTATGTATAATAATGTATGTATATTCTGAATATATAAAGAACACCTATAGTTCAGTAAGAAAAAGCAAACAACCCAATAAAATGGACAAAATATTTAAACATCTCACAACTAACATATTCATATGACAGGAAATAGAATTTTAAAAATACTATTCGAAATTAGAAAAATAAAACCAAATAGGTACATACTACACACTAGAATTTCTAACATAAAAATTAATAATAACACCAAATGCTGATGATGATGTAGAGCAACTGGAACTCTCATGTGTTTCTAGTAGGGATGTAAAATAGAATAACTTTTGGAAAATACTTTGGCAGCATCTTACATTGCTAAAAACACATCTACTCCATTGCCCTACATTGCTTTTAAATGCAAGATTATTTAGGTAGAGTGTTCCTGTAGGGGACTTTCCTAGTGAAATGATCTCATGATTCTTTGGTCTGTTACCCAAAGGAAGTTTACTTAAATTCTGATAGTTTACAGAATTTTTATTACTCTGCATGTTAGGGCTAATAAGCCTACTTAACTGTCCCCAGGATCCAACTCTTGACATCCTATCGAGTCTCTGGAAATGAAAGCACACCCTCCCCATTCACCTTCCTTCCCCATGCTAACAGGAGGTCCGTCTCCTTATAATAAGGAAATGGAGAAAGCTTGAGATTTACCTGTCCTGCTCCATGCAGTCACCTGACTAGCTCTGCTTCACATCCTTTTGAAGAAAATACATTACATCTTGAAACAAATAACAACAATGCAAAAGAGGAAATCCATCTGAGATACTCTAATATTCATCCAGCCTAATTGATTTTAGCCTTGGTAAGCATGCATTTTAAACCTGCACGAACAAAATAATGCCCCCCAGACGCATTTTGGGGGATGCAAGGAATCTCTATATGTGGGCAACATTCCTGGTGGACCAAATGGAGCTAGGCTGCCTCACGTGGGTCATTTCTGTGTTGCTGTCTGACTCCATCCTCCCTTCTGGAGTTCTAACCACCTGCCAACTCACCCTCCGGTGGTTCATGTCTTCAATGTATTTCATCACTTTCTGAGTAGCCAAGATACTCCCTTTCTTCTTGGATATGGTTTTTAGAATATCTTTTTCAAACTCATGCACTGCTTTCTGAACTTCAGTCCATCGAATTTCAGCTTCTTCGATGATTGCCTAGGAAAGACAGCACACAAAAGAAGATAGTGTCCAAAATTTTTTGAAGGACATATCTCCCAGGAGATCTACCTATCTAGTCCTCCTTGTATCTCTCCTTTTGTATGTTTTTTATTAGTCCTAGAAAGATATCCTGATATACAAGCCTGACTACATGAATATTATTATTAAAAAGCATGACTCACAAAAGCTAACTTCCATAAAAGAGCAAAGAAATAAAAATAAAGTTTCAGGCATCTTTTAAGTGTGTATTTCCATATCCGGAATATTATTGCTCTTTTATGAGTTATGTTACACACAAATACCTGCATGATATTTTTATCATAAATCACAGTTAAATCTAAAGAGATGAACTGGTGAGGAGATAAAACACTCATACACTTCTGTAACTTTTTAAAAAAGATGTTATAAATGAATGTACAAATGGACCTAATGCTAAGTGAAATAAATATGACACAAAAGGCTAAATCTATGGTTTCTTTTATATGAAAAACCAAAATATAAAGAGCAATATAAAAGAGATATGACAGGAAACAGGAAAGTAGACATTGTAGGGATGGGAGGGGCATTTGTGATGGGGGAAAGGGAAGGACTAGGAGAGGAAGAGGAAGAAAATGATTAAGATGCGATATGTATATGCACTAGTTCCCCAAGGTGATTATAAGTATTATGTATTGCAAACATATACCAATAAAAATATACTTAGAAGTCACCCATTTGTATCTTTACTTTCTGCAGAACTGCCTTCCATAAACATTAAATAGGGAAATTTCAGAAATAAGTAATTTCTAAGTTTTAAATTGTACACCATTCTGAGAAGTATGACAAAATCTCAGTCATCCCACTCTATCCTGCCTGGAACATAAATCATCCCTTTGTCCAGTGTACCCTTGTTATATATGCTATCCTCCCATTAGTCACTTAGTAGTTATTTCAGATATCATATTGACTTTGGTGGAATTGCAATGTTTGTGTTCAAGTAATGAATAATGGCCCCAAAGTGCAAGAGTAATGATGCTGGCACTTTTATTACAATGTATTGTCACAATTATTCTATTTTATTATTAGTTATTATTAACCTTTTACTGAGCCTCATGTATAAATTAAACCTTTTCATAGGTGTGTATGTACAGGGAAAAGCATAGTACATATAGGGCTTGATACTACCAAGTTTCAGCAATCCACCAGACATCTTGGGACATATCCTCTGCAGATAAAAGAACTATTATACGTTGACAAGGGAAAATACTTCTGAGCCAAAAATATAGTTACAAAGTTATGATGCCTTTTTAAAAAATTCATATATTCAAAGAAAATAATTTAAACTATAGAAGGGCATAAGTCCAAGGGTTAGCAATGATTATTTCTAGTAAGGTGGTAAATTTGTGGATGTCCCTTTAGCTTCCCTGTATTTCCTGTGTTTTAAAATGTTCTACAGCAAATATAGACTGCCTTGAAATAAACACCCACACACACACACACACCTTTTTTTTTTTGCCATGGGGGAATCAACACAGGACCTTCACACTGAGCTACCTCCTTAGCCCTTTTTTATTTTTTGTTTTGAGACAGGTTCTCATTAAGTTACTAAGTTTCCCAGGCTGGACTCAAAACATTCACACTATTTTAAAGGGCAAAATGAGAAATAAGTATGGCTGCAGACTAGCAAATCATACTAGTTCAGGCTTTCCCATGGCACCAAGAAGCCAAAGTGTCTTCACCGGCCCTCCTCAGGCTCCAGTCTCTCCCCAGCCCCGTCGTCTTCACAGGCTAGAACATCAGTCACCTTACCTGCTGCTTTCAACATGATGCTCTCCTGGTCAGTTGTCCTCAGTGGGATCCAGGCTTTCAAGACATCAGGGATAAACTCCTCTGCCTGGCTCTCAAGGTCTTGTTGACTTACTCAATCTCTATTTCCTTGCTCATGTCATTGACCTTACCCAGGGTTCCCTTCTTTTCCATTCTTGAAACAAATGCCGTCCTTCTTCAAGGTCTTGCCAAGGTCCATGGGTAGCCCTATTTTGGCCACTGTAGCCACAATTGACATGTACACCACGTGATCTACCAGGATAGAGCAATGCTACCAAGCAAAGATCCTAAGAGCCTAAGCATCTTTGACTTGCCAGAATTTGACAGTGATTGCTTGGAAAGAGAAAGAAGAGGAGAGAGGTTCAAAGAGAAAGAGAAAGGAAAGTTCAGCTTATATGATTCAGGGGTTCTACGGTGCGAGACATGAGTCCACTGATATGACCATTTCAAGGCAATGAGTGTGATTCCATGTCTGTCCACCTTTCAGTGGAAAAATAGAAACAGGAAAACTTAGAACAGAAGTACCTACGTTTCATTTAATATGGCTCTCAAATGCAAGCCAACAACTTCATGCCATGGCAAGTGAATTAGAGGGATGTGTCTTCTCTGGAGGAAATCCGACTTTGTTGGACCCATCGAAAGATGTTATGTTGGTCTCCAACAGGACAAGGCCTGTGATCATGCACGATGTATATGAAGGGTGACAGGGATTTTTCCGCCCACTTCACTAACTGTATTAGTAAAGAATTATTATCAAGTTTTGAGGATACTCATGGTTATTATAGTTATTTTTTTAAAAAGAATATGTATCTTAGAGACAGATGCTAAAATATTTGCACATAAATGATACATCTAGGGTTCATGTGATGGTTGATTGTGTCAACTTGAGTCAGAGAAGCTCAACTAAATTGGCTCAGCAATACCACACTTTAGGGTGTGGAAGACCCACCCTAAGGCAGTTTGTCAGCTGGATGGTATAAAGGGGAAATGAAGGAGGACAGATTTGCTTCTGTTTCTTCAGAGGAGCTCCAGTCCTCACCTTTGTCTCGGACATCATCTCCTGGCTTCCAGTGCAGATTCTTCAGCCTTCCACTGCAGACCCATTAGCCTCCTGATATGGACTCACATGGGACACTGCAGTGAGTTCCAGACCTCCACCTGGATCCCTCAGTTTCCAGTGTGCAGATGCCCTCTGCACTCTTCCTCATCGACTCTGTGGGTGGTCATTGTAAGCCAGTCTTGTAAATTCTTATATATTTGTGTATCTATGTTACATCTGTTTCTCTAGTAAACACTGACTGATCGATCCAGTGCACTTCATAGAAACCCTGCACCATGAAGGGAAGCTGCTGGGACATCTACAAAGCAAAAGTGGCCATGTATTGATAAAAGTTGCATCTGGGTGTGGAATACACAGGGGTTTGTTGTGCTAGCTGTCTACTTTTGAGTACTTCTGAAATTTTCCACTTAAAAAAGTTTAAAACAGAACTAGAGAAAACAATCCTAAAATTCATATGGAACCAGAAGAGCAAAAGTAATTCTGAGTAACAAAAGCAAGGCAGAGGCATGGCAACCCCAGACTTTAAGTTATGTTACAAAGCTACCGTGATTAGAAACAGCATTATGTAGGCAAATAAATAAATAAATAGGACTTGTGGTCCAATGGAACAGAATAAAGGATGCACAAATAACACTAGGAACTCAGCTAGTTATCTTTCACAATGGGCCCCAATACTTTCTCTGGAGGAAAGATAGCCTCTTTAACAAATGATGCTGAAAAACTGGCTATCCACATGCTAAAGATTGAACCCAGACCCATATCTCTCACCGTGCACTAAACTAAAATCAAAATGGATCAAAGACCTAATATTAAAACAGAAACACCTAGTCTGCTGAAAGACAAAATAAGTGAAAGCTGAAGACAAAGGTATACGCAAAGACTTTCTGAAGAGGACCCCAGTGACATATAAAATAATACCAAGAATCAACAAATGGGATCATATCAAATTAAAAAGCTTCTGCACAGTAAAGGAACAGAGTAAAGATACAACCTACAAGTAGGAAAAATAATTGCTAGCTACTCCTCAAACAAAGGACTATTATATAGAATATATAAAT